AGTCATCATCCCACTTGATTAATGGGAGGCATACGACCTTATTCCTTTGATTCATTCTGCTTTTTTTTCTATCGAATCCAGTGCATATGCGAGGGTGTGCTGGTCTCCTTCGTCATTGCGCTGTTTTCTTTTATGTTAGAGTGCATTGGTGCGATGACTATCCACTCCAATAAAGAAGAAGCGCAAGAACATTTCGCTTCTTTTACGCAAGAGAGCTGGCTGGCACGTATCTGTTTATGTGCAGTTATTATAGGCCCTATATGGTTCTTCTTTTGCTTCTCTTCATCACCACCAGCTCGGTAGTAGTCATTGAGAGAATGTGCCCCCACATGGTGTCATACTACGCTGTTGAACCAATGGTTGAATAATATTATCCCTACCCGCCAATGCGAATTTCTAGATCAATACTTCCTTTTTGTTGGTATTATCATCATCATAATCAACAATATCATTCATTTCTGATCCTGTATTGAGTGTGTTTGCACTTCCGATAATTGGATTTTCCCCATAAACATAAAGCTTTCTATTGTTAGTTCTTAAATTTCACCAGTAGCACAAAATTGCAAATCTTAAACCAATTAACTACCAAGGAGTGTGTTCAAACAGGCTACTTTTATAAACCATATTTATTTATTTATATCAAATGGAGGGGGGGGGGGGAACAGAAGAGTGTTTCAATGATGCAAATGAGACAGACACAAAGTTAGAAAAGGTGAGGTGAGTACTGTGGAAGGGGTCGAATATGACATACAGTGGGGTGATGGTAGTTTGAAGTCAGAAGTAAACTGCCAGTTAATGAACTTTTTTTGCCGTATGAGTATACGCTACCCAGGGAGCACCACGTGGAGGTAGGCCTATCACACACTCCAACTTTTATAAACTTGTGAAGATTCTTCTATGTCCTTTTTTTGACCTCAAACGAGTACACAAGCCTTAATTCATGAAAGTATAGTCTTTCCTGTCTTTCCAACTCCCAGTGGTCACGAGTGTTACCAGCTCACTTCACGCCTTTGATGGTACTTTCTTAAATAGCATGGACTAGTTTTCCTATTGATGATTTCCCTTTTCCAAATTTATTATACCGCCTGTGTCTGTTAAGTGTTAGTCGAAACTGAAATTGATTTTTCGTAGTGGAAAATTGTCCAAAGGTTTCTAACCAATGAAATTCATCAATAGTATTATTTGATACTAGCTATGCATTCTCTCAGCGGTAATAGGGGAACAAATTTCCCCACATTTCTTTAATCTAGCACACACACACAATTCCCCTGGTGGTCCCATAAAATATAACACTGCTGATTCACTCTTTTCGTCATGACTTCATTCATCCTTCTTCAAGAACTTCCACTTAATTAGTCGTTCCCTGTTTGTCTACCCACTCACCTACCGAATATACCGTTTTCTGGAATAAGCGCCTCTTCTCATGATTCCTCTGCCCAATGCCATCGCTTGTCAAACGCGGTTTCTCCTTCTCAGTCTGGAATTTCGCCCCAATTTGGGGACATTTTCCCTGGGGGTGGTGTATAGGCCCTTTAGATGTTTCTACCATTTGTTTTTTTCTAATTCTCTCCTATTAACTTCAAAATTTGCCATAGACGGCTTCTAATTTGATTTTGTAGGTCACGAACTTATCGAAAGTTTTTTTTTCTGTTACTCACCTTATGTGGAAGGGAATGAATAGGGTATTTAATGGGGAACTCGCATTTCCTCATTTCCACATCAACCAGTTAGTTATCCCATTCACTGTTTGAGTATCGAATCTTTTTTTTCCCAATTTCAAGTTTCACCATTGACCACAAAGTAGTGTAAATGCAATTCCACTTTTTTTTGACAGACTTGAAGTGTCTGGTGATGGAAAATACTTCGGATGGCAGAATTTGTGTGTGCATGACCATCCAGTTTTCGATCTGTATGGAGTTGATTTACAAACAATTCTGATTTATCAAGTAAAATTAGCAAATATATGTGTGCATTAATTATCTAGAATTGGCTTTTATATACTAGTTTTTTTCCTTTCCCGAGATGAAGATTGATGACCAAGGTTTCAGAATATCTTTTCACCCGGGGTTGAATGAATATCCTTATGTCTGATGAAAAAGTAACGACATTGTGGTCTTAGCTGGTCCAGGTTTAAAAATAGTCGGGTTATAATAAAGTGAACAGTAAATCAATGTGGGAATGAGGGTTCCTCATTCAGAGGGAGTCTTTTCTTACCTCTTCTCTCTCCCCCCCCCTGTCTCTGTGATTGGGAAAAACGCTAATTCATTGACCGAAATAGCCTGTGACATAATTGGCCTTTCCACACACGTGCGATCCAACTCCCACCCCCCCCCCTCCCACCACCACTGGAAATCGTTGGATTAGGAGATCATATTCATATGTGTGCGGTGTGTGTATGTCCTATTTCCCGCTAATGCAATCATAACTGAACTAGATAGGCAAATTGCGCACCGATAGTGTGATTCTCATGTGAGTGGATTTTCACAGTGAGGTTAATCATCCACTCACGACTAAGTTATGCAAGAATTACGCTTTTTATCCAGCTTACTTTTTTGTTTGTTTCATTTTCAAACAAACGAAACAATTCACTTTTCATTTTTGTGCCCATTTTCTAAAGTTGTTTGCGTGGCGTTCCTCCGTTGCAACGGCCAATTTATTTCCATTCGAATCACTAGCTTATTGTTAACTTGACACATTCTTGAACGGATTAAACGTCAAAAGGTCTATTTGGGGGGGGGGGAGGGTATTTAATCATGGCTAGGCATTTTCAGTCATTTTCAATAGTCTTTCTCCATTGATCTTCGCGTGTATTTCCACTATAACCCTTGATAATCGTCCCACTCTACAAATTGCTTTATGCTCAGCTTCATAATTGGCCATGTTCTTGAGTATTCATGCATCTGGTGGCCTTTATGGCGAATGCTTTTCCAATCATTCAGATCCTAACCATTTTTCCGAAACCTCTTTTTAATGGGGAATGGGTGATTTTTTTAAGTTTTTTTTTCTATTCTCCTATTTTCTCACAATAATATCAAGACAAAAGTCCTCGCTTTGTCTATTCTGTTTCCTTTTCTGGGCGGTTGAGATGTGTTGGTTGAATGTGATGGATGTGTGGGAAGTAAGTTTGTTCGACTTGAAAGCTGTGAGAATTCCCTTATATTGGCTCTTACCTGCAATTTAAGTTCCTAAATTTGAAAAAAAGCATAAAATTGGTGTAATTGCTTCAACTGATTGATTAAAACAATCCTAACCATGGTGCTGAGTTTCGTGTGGTTAAAATGATTAGCTTTCTGCAAGCATTAAACAATATCTTTTGTGGAAATGAGTTGCTCTTTCCCACTTCCCCAACTCCCCCCCCCCCCCCCCCCCCCCCCCCCCCCAACCCTCTACCACCACCCCAACCTCCCCCACTGACTTATTTCTATTAACGTGGGAGATTCCAACCCCTTCTTCCCTCCATTGTGTTTGTTTTTTTTTGCATCTTAAAATAAATTTTGTTTGAACTAGGGCGATCGCATGACCTTGGGAGTTTCTCAGCTAGTTGGCGATTTTCGCGATCGATTTCACATTCATGGCTCATTTCAATAGCGTTAATAGTTGAAGTCTCCTATTTTCTCCTAGTAGTGAAGGCCATTTATTTTAAGAAAATGCCGCAGGTTTTTTAAACAACCTTATTGCATGCTATTTTTACCTCAAAATTGAAAAAAAATTCTTTATTTAAAAAATAGGATTTATGGTTTGGAATTCCCTAGTCTTTGGCTTAAGAAATAGGCGAATGGTATAGAATTGGAGCCTTTAACTGGTTTCTTCCATATCTTGTAAGACATTTGTTGTAACTTCATTGTTATTATAGAATGAGTCTAATCAGGAATATTCCGGGAGGTTCTTGCTGTGTCTGAAATTCTGACTACTATTTGATGTGGTTAGAGTAACTACCCCTCTGAAAACGACCTTGTTTGGTCTTGTAGGGATTCTATCTTTTATTATGTGAAGTTGGGGGGGGGGGGGGATGACTTCTGAATGAAAATATTGGAGGCTTTGTTCGATTAGCGTATTATTGAACATCAGCGAAGTTAGTTTTGAAGTTTCCTCAAGATTTTGCTCGTTACAGCGTATTCTATGATATTTCATGGTGGAGGTGTTATTTGAAAGCCAAAAATTGCGTCCTAGACTTTAATTGGATGACTGAATGAGTCAGATAATTCGCTTCTCCATGCTTCCACCTTCTGCGACTTTAATTTGTTGGTTCAGGGTACTGATTCCGCATTCCTCTTTGATTTTATCTCCAAGTCTTACGTCACAACCAAGCAGATACAATCTCTGTCTTTAGTGCCTGGAGCTAATTAACCTCGATTTCCCCCTCCAAATCAGGCCGATTTTATAGGTTCTTAATCTTACAGTTTATTAATTCGTCAACTCCCCCCCCCAATTTTGGAATTTTATTCAAGGGTTTATTACTGACCTATCAGTCAATTAATGCTCATGTTAAAGTCTAATCTGATTAAGGTAATAGTAATTTATGTATTTATTAATCAAAATACGTAAATGTGGCATTAAGGTCTGTAAGAGAAAGAAGGAAATAGGAGTGGACCACGAGGTATTGAAAGAGGTGAGGAAGGGGTCATCTTGCCACAATTGCCCCCTACCTCTTTCACAACTTAGGACGTATGCTTGATAATAACTGGGATTGGTCAACATCTGCGTTCTGAGAGGTACGTATCTGTTGGCTCGCAGCACCGCTACACTATCTTATTTATAATTCTTCAGTAACAGAGTGTTTTATGGCGTGCAATGGGTTCAAACATTGTCGTCTGTTAGGCACTAAAGCACCAATAGTTTTAGTACTTTAACCGCAAACATATTTAAATTGTCGGTATTTTTTTTGTTTGTTTGGAAATACTTACCCTTAAACCACGCCATTCGAAATAAGCTCGTAGTGTCGTGCGCGCAATTTACTTACTTTACACTAGATACTAATTCCCATTATTTATGCTTGTTAGGCTATTCAGAAGACTTGAAAGTCTACAACTCCAACAGCAAGTCCTCTAATGGAGCCGATTACTACTAATAGCCCCGAAGTTGACATGACAACTCAGATGGCTCAGTTGAACCTCCAAACAAACGGAACAGCTGTCGCTCCAGTTAATGGAACTAACGGAACTACTGGACTACCAACTGCAAATACTAATAACTCAGCTCTACGTCAAAGAACCGGTATTCCACGCTATGCCATCCCCTATCGTAGACCAGATGAGAAATCAGGTGCTCCCACTGTTGATAAAACAAATGGTAGCGATGGCACTAAGTCACCTCTCACTAATGATGCTGTCAGCCCGGCTGTGTCAGAGTGTGCAGTGAGCGACAAACCGGTGGCTGCTGTTTCAGGTATTCCACGTGGGAGAAATGGATTTAGAATGGATTCAACTGGTGATAGCTCTTCTTGCATTAGTGCAGGGTTGAATCCATACAAAGGCGCTAGAGCTGCTTCTGTTGGTGAGTATTTAAATGATATTAATTTTTTTTCCTACTAAGACCTACATCAATCCAATATTGATTTCACTTCATAGATATGCTATTTTATCTTTCTCTTCATTTCACAACGGGTAATCGGAATATTTCAATTTTTCAAACTTGGTGCTAAAATTAGCAATATGCTTGCGGCTGCTAAAACTAGTCACCTTTTATTTGTTTTTTTTTGTTGATAAATCTCCATGTTTCCTTCTACTGGGATAGTTTGCGTCATCGTTCTGGTTTCATGATTTGATTTCGTTTCTCAGTAACCCAATTCATTACTTGTCTATTATAAATTAACTAACCTGTCTAGACTATTCGTTAGAATCTGATAGTTGGTTGTTTAATATTTGGTAGAAAAAAAACTGCACTTACATTTGGATGTTGTTGAGGTGAAAGTTATTTCATTGGTTCATGCTTTTTTAATCATTTGTTAAGCAGATCGGTAACGAAGTTCAGACTGCAATACGTACTTTGATTTAATCCAATTAAGTGTATTAGTTCAGATGTCTGATTAATTAGATTACCTTAGAGGTTGGTAGAAATTTCGTTGAATTTGTAGATGATATTCATAAACGAAAAATCATCAGGGAATGATTTTCTGGCTTTATAGAGTATTTCTTTTATTAAATTGCAAGATTTTCATTGTACATTCAATTTACTCTCAATGAGATTAGTTGGAAATATTTAATTACTTAACCTTAGTATACTGGTAAAATTATTTATTTATTTATTTATTTATATCAAATGACAGGCGTCTTGATGGTTATCATTAGCCCTTTAGTTGACTTCAGTCTTCACATAGGGGAAGGAACATCAAAGTGGGAAAAAAAGTCGAG